ACTGTAGAAACTTAAAATTGAAAACTCGAATCGGTGAAATGAACGAAGCGTAAATAGTAATTCTCGAGTTGAGGTTTTTTCTACTTCAAAATTTCTAAATTGTGTGTTGGATACACAAAAAATGTACCCTAATTTCGTACTAAATCTTTTAAAATGTCAATTTGAATCCTACTTCAATCGTATGGAATCTAATACCGCATCATTTTCATGATTGTAAGTAATTCTCAAATGTTAACGGCTTGTTTGGCATTGTTTTCTCAAATTGGCGTTTTGCATGCAAAAATTAGTGACAGTTTCAATTTGGTACCTTGTATTAGTAAAATTGTCTTTAATACCTTGTGTGTGTGTGTGTTTTTTTTTTTTTTATAATTTTAAAGTGCTACCTCAGCATTTTTAAAAATAGATTTTTAATAACCTGCAACCCCTTTTCAAAACACGAAAATGTCAAATTTGCTTTTTTTAAATAATTTACGACTTGTTGACCTGAATTTACTCTTTATGAAATGTATTGGAAAAAAATATTATCCATATAACTAAACATCTTTTTTACCTTAAAAAAATCTTAAAAGAGTAACTCGGGTCAATCAAATTATAAATTATAAAAAAAAAAACAAATTTGATATTTTATGTCTAAAAAAAATTTTAAAGTACTAAAAATTTAAATCAACAAATTAAACGGGTTCTTAATTTGTTGATTTGAGTTTTTAATTCGAGTTGAGATGTGATTTTATATGAGAGTTTTTTATTATAATAAAAAAAATTAAATATGACTGTTTTTGATAATTTTTATTATAATAAAACTCAAATTTTAAAATTGAATCGATGAAATGAGAATGCCTAAATAGAAATCAATTGGAGCTGGTAATTTTCAAGAATTATTTTACTTTATCCAGAGAACTACCACTACCACCTGAGTGTCTTTTTTGTATTTTAATTATAATCAGTTAATTAATACTTTTTGTTCGTGTTAAAGAAAAGAGAGCTAATAAATATTTTGATAACTATTAAAGGGAGTATAATAACTAAACCTAAATAAAATACTAATAAAGGGAGGAGCAGAATTTGGACCGAATCTGAGGTGGCTAATGTGGGCCCCACGTACTCAAGCCTAGAATTTGACCGAAAACGGGGTTTGCCCCCGGTCATGTCACTTTCCACGATAGAGCGCCAAGGCGTTTTGACTGCGCACGGGCAGCCGGTCAGCACCGTTCGGGTAGCCAAGCCTTTCTCCCTCTTTCTCTCTCCTACACTCAAATCTCTCTCTCTCTACATACTCTCTGCACGCCTCACTCGAAAAAGAAAAAAAAAAAAGCAAAAGAAAAAACAAAAGAAAGAAATAAAGAAAGAAAGATAGATAACAATCCCACAAACACACTTTAGTTCCAGAGAGAAGAGAGAGAAGGAGAGAGAAGGAGAGAGGGAGAGAGAAAGAGAGAGAGCAAAAGGGAAAGTTTGGCGAAAAGGATAGCAGAGAAAGAATGGAAATTTTTAAAAAAATAAAAAATGGGGTTTGATTTTTAATGGGTTCTTGTTGTTCTTCTTCTCTTTTGGGGTACCGGGTAAGATGAGATCGAACTTTTGAGACTCTGATTCAGCTGGGTTTGTGTCTCTTTTTTATTTGGGTGTTTTTTTTTTTTTAATAAATTGGGTAGGTAAAAAAAAGTTGAGATTTTGAGGTGCTTGAGATTCGTTGGAAAGTAGGATTATTGGTATTTTGGATTTGGTAGTGGAGAGGTTGGGGTCTGGGAATTCTCTGTGATGGTTTGTTTGGGAGTGAAGTACCATTTGGATCTAAGATTTTTGGTCACTTAGAGAGAGAGAGAGAGAAAAAATGGAGAGAATATTTGGGTCTTCATTTTGCCTTTGGTTGATTTTGGTGGCACATCCTTTATGGATGATGGTGAGGATGGTATCTGCTAACATGGAAGGTATGTATGTTTTAGATTGTTGGTGGTCTTTTTGTTTTTTCCATTCTTGATCTTGGTATGTTTTGTTTGTTAGTTTCCTAAAATGGGGTTTTTTCTTTTGTGGAATTTCATTTGGAGTTTAGAGAAAATGAAGAAATAGGTGTGCTTAATTGAGTTATATTTGTGTTGAAATAAGTACTCTTGAATGTTTTGGAAAAAATGTTGCTTCTTTATGCTTTTTTTTTCTTCAGTAAATTTGAAGGTATTTGGTATAACATTTATAGCCCGTTTGGTTTATGAATTAGAACCATTAGAATTATTTTCGATTTACGTGTGTTTTTTGTGAGAGAAAATATTGTAGCGAACCATAAATTATAATTCGAATCAAAGAACGAATCCTCCAACCAAACGAGATGTTAGTTTTGGAATACTTGTGAATTTGATGGGAGGAGATGCTGATCATTTGGTGTACCATTTAGTTTCAGAAGTTAATGGATAGTTGAAAGTATCATAACATAATTTCTGTTATTTATTTCTTTATTTTTTTCTTCCTAAATCCCATTTATTTGATTACCCAATGCATCTTTTTCGTTTGGTCGTACATCAGTATACAGTAAGGAGTTTATTAAACTTCGAGTTAATATTGTGCAGGCCTAATTTCATATTTGTTTGCTTGATTACATAGTACTTTAAATTCTATAATTTCTTTTTCTAGCGGTTGACTCTCTCTCATGACTATCTATGTTTTCATATTTTGACCATAAATAAGAAGACATTTAATTTTGTTCTGTATCAACTACATTTTAATTTGAAAAAAACTTACCATTTCTTATACTTTCATTTATGTTTTCCTTTTATATCTTGTTCAAAACTTTTTTCACATTTTGGCCATTTTTGTATCTCGTGGGTTTGAGGATTCCTTATCCTCTGCCCTTGTTATTGCTTTTATCAATAAAGTTTTCCTTATCAAATAAATATATAAATAAAGTTTCTATGCATTCTGGTCTCATCTTTTAATTGCGGAAATTGCGGTGTTTGCATATTCTATCTTTTCAAATATTCATTCTTTGCAGCAAGAACTTGAATATTTCTATTTTGGTTTGCACTTTGGAACAGGTGATGCCTTGCACAGCTTGAGGACCAATTTACTGGACCCCAATAACGTTCTACAGAGTTGGGACCCGACTCTTGTAAACCCTTGTACGTGGTTCCATGTTACATGCAACAATGATAACAGTGTCATAAGAGTGTAAGTGTCTGACATTAGATTAGTGTCATAATACTGGGTGACTCGTGGGCTATGTTTAGGAATTCTCGTATTGCTTCTTTTGCTAAAGTGCATCTTATGCAGTGATCTAGGAAATGCTGCCTTATCGGGTCAACTTGTCCCGCAGCTTGGCCTGCTCAAGAATTTACAATATCTGTAAGACAATCTTGAACCCTGATTTTCCTTATGCAGTTATGTTTCTTTATCTCAATCTTGTTATGTTGTATTCCATTCTTTTTCAACTAGTGCAAATAAATCGATCTGTTCAAACCGAAAATAATGAGAGGGATGTTAGACTAGCGAAGTATGGGATATTGTAAAGAACACATTCTTTCTCTCATTTTACTTGTAGCATGAAGGAGCCTAAGTAAAAGAACACAAACTTTCAAGCAAATCGTCTTTAATTTGGTAAATCAATTCACTTAAGATTGTCGTTTCCATGATAATAGTTTTGGGTTTTTAAGCATTGGTTTGTATATCTCCTAACGTTGTCGAGTGTAATTAGCTTCTTAATCTATTGATTTCTCCCTTGTAACGTTTGTATGACAGGGAACTTTACAGTAATAACATTAGTGGAACAATTCCAAGTGACTTGGGGAATTTGACCAGCTTGGTGAGCTTGGATCTTTACTTAAATAGTTTCACTGGTCCTATCCCAGACACTTTGGGCAAGTTATCAAAACTAAGATTTCTGTGAGTATTCTTACTCTTATTCTATCCACCTTTTTTTCTTCTTTGGTTTTCTTGTTTTGAGAATGGTGGATTTGTGCTTATCCTAAACCGACCTGGTGAATTACCATAAAATCATCGTTCCCAAAGCTTGAAGAGTGAAGGGATCCAGTTTCAAGCCCATGCCTGCTACGCGGGATCTTTTAGGATATGAAAAAATTGATAGTTTAATATATGAAATCGGAAGTAGTCGGCAGCGATTCAACATACGAAAGTAAGATATGGAAAATAAGACAAGCAGTACTACTTTGAAGTTCATGTCACAGAAGAATAATGAAAACATTGGAAACACTTTATGTATTATATGCAATGGAGAATTTTAAAATAAAATCTATCACTCCTCTAGGTATTGCTGGAGACTCCATGAGCTTTTATACATCTTTTTTGTAAAGTCATATAGCTAAAGTTGAAGTAAACCTATTGGTCATATGCATGTCTTAAACACAGTACATGTCAAACCACACTCTTCATTTTTGTTTGTTCTTTATGCATAGACCCTGTTTTAGGTTCAGCATTTCCAATATTTTTGTGCTGCTATCTTTTTATAACTTCAATTTTTGCAATTTTCCTTTATTGGTATTTGGTTTTAGGTCTTAACAGTGTATATTATTGATGTGTTTGTGTAAGTATAGCCGGCTTAATAACAACAGCTTGTCGGGTCAAATTCCTATGCCATTGACCAACATCTCCTCACTGCAAGTATTGTAAGTGACTAGCTGCTCTTAATGTTTTTTCTTTCTTCCCCTCTCTCACGTCCTCCTTTATCCTAATTAACAAGTTTCCTATTGATGTTGCAATGCTTACTGCAGGGATCTGTCAAATAACCGTCTCTCTGGAGCAGTTCCAGACAATGGCTCTTTTTCTTTATTTACTCCTATCAGGTTATATCTAGTTTGACTTTTCTCACCTTCACTTCCCTGACGTTTAGTACTTTTCTAAACTCGATGTTTTCGATTTCTGCAGTTTTGCTAACAATGCGGGTCTTTGTGGCCCAGTTACTGGGCGCCCCTGCCCAGGGTCACCCCCATTTTCTCCTCCTCCACCTTTTGTCCCACCACCCCCAATATCAACGCCAGGTGATCTTTTTATTATTATCTTTTGGAATTTGAAAGTTAAAAGATGATTTTATACTTCTAATGCTTCTTCCCTGAGGCATGATGGAAATGTAAATTACTTTGCCAAAGAGGCTGATCTTTCTTGGTAAATTTTTGAAAGTAGAACCTTTTTTTTTCTTCGTAAAAGTACATACAATGAGCTTATCTGATTGGAACATTTAATTGGAAAAAAAGGTTCAAGCCGAGAAAAGATAAATCAAACGGGCTATCTGTGCTTTCTCCTTTATTATATAAGCAAATACACTGAACACAGACGTATTCTTTTTTTTTTTTGTTATTATTATTATTATTATTATTTCTTGGTATTTTTTGTTTATATGCATGACAAGTGGCTGGATCTTTATTTCCTTTCGTCTTCTCGGAGAGAAATTACATTTTGCTGTCAGCTCTTTTTCTTTAGTGCTTTTTCTTGCAGTATCATAGTCGAGTGGTGAAGTGAATTTTTTTCATCTTTTTTTGAATTTTTTATGTCAGTGATTGGTTTGCAAGTAGCAGTTTCTATTCATTCAATAACATGTATATGAATCACATTTAGTTGTTCTTTACACCATTTCAGGAGGGAATAGTGCGACTGGAGCTATTGCTGGTGGAGTTGCTGCTGGTGCTGCTTTACTATTTGCTGCACCTGCTATTGCATTTGCATGGTGGCGTCGAAGGAAACCGCAAGAATTCTTCTTTGACGTACCTGGTAAGTGATTTGACCAGAAATTGATTAGTTTATGTTCAAAAAATCAATTGTTACTTATGTACGGCTTTTTGCAGCCGAGGAGGATCCTGAAGTCCATCTGGGGCAGCTCAAAAGGTTTTCACTGCGAGAATTACAAGTTGCAACAGATAGTTTTAGCAACAAAAACATTCTGGGTCGTGGTGGGTTTGGTAAGGTCTACAAAGGTCGCCTTGCGGATGGCTCTTTGGTTGCTGTAAAAAGATTGAAAGAGGAGCGTACGCCCGGCGGAGAGTTGCAGTTTCAAACAGAAGTAGAGATGATCAGCATGGCTGTGCATCGTAATCTTCTTCGACTGCGCGGGTTTTGCATGACACCTACTGAACGATTACTTGTTTATCCCTACATGGCTAATGGAAGTGTTGCCTCATGCTTAAGAGGTACAGCTTCTATAATTCACGAAATGTTCACCGCTATTTTAGAGGCAGGCATTCTGTTTATTTATACAATATCTTTGGTCACATGAATGGTTTTTTGTACGTGTACACACATTAAACCCTGTAATTTGAATATCTTTGGAAAATACTAAACTTTGAAAAGGGAAGTAATTCTGTTTTTTCTAATTTGGTTTTTGGATTATTGCAGAACGGCCAGCAAACCATCCACCTCTTGATTGGCCTACTCGGAAGCGAATAGCATTGGGATCTGCAAGGGGTCTTTCTTATTTGCATGACCACTGTGACCCAAAAATTATTCACCGTGACGTGAAGGCGGCAAATATTTTGTTGGATGAGGAGTTTGAGGCGGTTGTTGGAGATTTTGGGTTGGCTAAACTTATGGACTACAAGGACACTCATGTTACAACTGCGGTACGAGGTACGATTGGGCATATTGCTCCAGAGTACCTCTCTACTGGGAAGTCATCTGAGAAAACTGATGTTTTTGGCTATGGGATCATGCTTTTGGAGCTTATCACTGGGCAGAGGGCTTTCGATCTTGCTCGGCTTGCAAATGATGATGATGTCATGTTGCTCGACTGGGTATGTAATTGTTGTGGCATAGCTTGTCTTTATTTACCCTCTCATTTTTTTCCCGAGAGCTATTATTAATGCCATTTTTCCATAATTTGTCGAATCACGGGCTGTGTAGCTGTCACGCAGATAATATTTTTTCTGGGGGGAATGACCAATGTATTAGTTCAATACATGCCATTTTTTCAATCATTGAGACCAATGAGATCTGTCTCTAAATATTTGAATTTGAGGATGGGAGATTAGACCTGAAATATGAAACTTGAGAGGTTACATCAAGAGGAAAAAAGGACAAAAATAGAACAAATAACTTGTGATATTGAATGTTTTGTTTGGCTTCATTTGGTTTTGGATTTGATCTTTGTGGATATGATGTTTCCTCTGTGTTGTGTTTGACACTGTTTAAAGTTCGTGCAACTTCGGAAAAAGTGATGTGATTGAGTGCTTTCTCAGGTGAAAGGGCTGCTGAAAGAGAAGAAATTGGAGATGCTGGTTGATCCTGATCTTCAGAAAAACTACGTAGAAGCTGAGGTGGAGCAGCTAATTCAGGTCGCGCTGCTCTGCACCCAAGGGTCTCCCATGGACCGACCAAAGATGTCGGAAGTGGTGAGAATGCTTGAAGGCGATGGCTTGGCCGAGAGATGGGATGAATGGCAAAAGGTGGAAGTACTGCGCCAAGAAGTGGAACTTGCTCCTCATCCAAACTCTGATTGGATCGTCGACTCAACGGAGAACTTACATGCAGTTGAGTTATCAGGTCCAAGGTGACCCTGGCTGGCATGGCATAGTAGAAGTGGAGAAAAAGGGAATTACTTACAACTTATTTTTTAATCATAAAGTTCTTTTTTCTTTCTCTTTTTTTTTTTTTCTTCTTTTTGTCTTTTTTAATGACCATAATCTGATTAATGTCTCTTGTAAGTCCATTCTGCATTGTATTCGTTACATTTGTGCATATGAGTCAGCATTGGTAAGGTGCAATTTGTATTGTCTGCTGCAGTTTGACAAAGCTCTGATGAAGATGTTGTTCTTATCTTTATATATAAAAAGCTGTGGCAGTTGAATCTTTTGTGCACTGCATATTTAGTCTATTGCTCTATCTAATTCTCTTGGCTGTATATTTATAAAACTGTAAGTAGACGTTTGGTTTATAGATTCAAAATTATTTTCAGTTTACGTGTTTTTTTAAGAGAAAATACTATAGTGAATTACGAATTATGACACGAATTTTTACTCTAAACGCAACATCTTGGCCAATAAAATGTTATAATGTTATTTAAGACCGTTTGGTCCGGTGGCACTAGAGGGTTTGGATCGGTGGGGCTTTTGAGGAAGGTTACGGGTTCGGTCCCTCGTTCGGGAAAAAAGATGATGTAATGCAATTATCTATTCTTGTTTTAGAACATAAGTATGGACCTGTTCACTTCGCTGATTTGAGTTTGTAATTCGAGTTGAGATGTGATTTTATGTAAGTTTTTTACTGTAATAATAAAGTTAAATGTGATTGTTTCTGATAATTTTTTATTGTAATAAAATTTGAATCGGTAAAATAAACGGATTGGTCTATTGAATTGGGTTCAACTAGGGATGTATTTTAGGTTTCTCTTAACGCGTTTACTTATTTGAGGAATTATATTCAGTTCCGTACGAAGTTGTCCTCGTAAAAGACTAGGAGGTCTCACAAGGAGACCCCCACGGCCCCACCTTAGCTGACTGCCCTTATACTAGTAATAATTTTTTGTCCAATAAAGTATGAAAAAGATAAATCGGCAGTAAAAAAAAAAAGAAGTTATTTATCTTTTTTTTCCTTGAAAAAAGGGAAAAAAAAAAGACAATGAGCGTTTGTCCTTTTTTTTCCCCCCTTCCACCTGTAAAAAAAGATAATAGAAATTCTCTTTATTTTTTGGTGCGGAAAATTACTTTAGTGGTTGACTTTGACCTTTTGCTTTTTTTGGGAAATGTAGTGGTTGACGTTACTAAATGATAACTACATTGAATTTTAACATTAAGAATCTAAGGGTGCGTTTAAAACTGTTTTTGAAAACGTTTTTCACATTTTTTTAAAAAAAAATGAAATTGATTTGGAAATCATGTTTGGAGTGACCTCTATTAAAAAAATGAAATTGAAAACGCGTTTTCTATTTTTTCTAAAAGCACAAGCTTTCTAAAAATGGCTAACAGGTCGGGTGCATTTAGAATTCGTTTTAAAATGATTTTATTTTTTATATGAAAAAAAAATTAAAAACGTTTTCAATCTCAGACATAAATTATTTTAAAAAATGTATTTGGTAGTTTTATCAAGAGATTATTTTCAGTATAAAAAAACCTATTAATGTCTCTCTCTCTTTCTCTCTGCTCAAGAGAGGAGAAAACGAGAACAAAAAATAAAAAATGACTAAAAGTCATTTTTCATTTCTCTCATTTTACACTAAACTAAAAAATCGTTTTCATTTATGTTTTTTGTCTTTATTATGCCAAAAGCCGTTTGAAAACGTTTTCATTTTTTCTTTCTCAAAAAACGTAAAAAATAAAAATGAGATCAATTTCAAATACGGCCATCATTTTCTCTTCCTTTCCTTTTCTAAACTCTCATCTTTCCTCTCTCACAGCAAAAGACCTCTCTTCTAGTGGAGCTCATATATGGGTTTAGTTCTATATTATATTAATTATTAGTATTAATTGAGGAGTTTATTAATTATTTACTATATTATTTAAAATACTATGAGTGTTTTTAAAAATGTATAACCAAACACGGTTTCAATTTTTTCTTATACTGAAAACAATCTCTCAATAAAACTACCAAACGCATTTTTAGAAACGATTCCTATACGAATCTCAAAACATTCTCATTTTCATTTTCATATCTAAAATAAAATTATTTTAGAACATGTTCTAAACGCGTCCTAAAATTCGTCATTCAAATATACCCATCTTGGAACAACAGCAAGAAAAAAGAAACTCTTGCAAAAGTGCATTTCCTATAGCATTGTTTATTTGGATTCGAATTGATGTTATATTGGGAAAAAGAAAGAAAAAGGAAAAAAAAAAAGATTATATGGATTCCATAACCGTGGAGGTGGTATTTATCTTTAAGCATTTCTATCACTTGTTTTCCACTAAAAGCACAATTAGTGTCTGTAATTGTTGATGAATTTTAAAGTGTTATTCCTATGCTTGGTTCACTTCTAATTGCTCCTTATTGTGGCGGACAAATCGCAAAAGGGAGATGTTTAAAAACTAAATTGGAATGCCACTGCCCACTAGGAATTTTATACCCAACTCCTAAATTATATAATATATATATATATATATATATTTACTTCAAGGTCAACGCAACGCTATTAATCTAATCTCCATTATTTTCCATCCTCTCACTTCCACATCAAGAATTAAGATATTAAATTCACACAGTTGGGATCAATTGAATGGTAATGGATTGGACAAATCTCAATGCGAATTCTGTAAAATCCGTGAATCTCAATTATGTATTTAATATATATATATATATATATATATATATACATATATATATAATATGTATATTATTTTGGTGGAGTTCTACTGAATTTAATTTGTCGTTGTTAATTGGGTTGCAACAATTTAAAATTTGTTGATACCTAAAGTTGACAAGAGAATGAGATAAATTGCCTTCTTTTAGGCGGAATAAAAAGTTAATAGTAAGAATTTTGGATAAGACAGTGACTAGTGTTATATCCAGAATTTATATGATATATCAAATGACAAAATTTGATAAATCGAGGATTTATCCTAAAGTTTTCGGATGTAATAAATTTAAAACTTACTTGATTTAGTTTATGATCAAATTTGATAAAATTAAGATTTACCTGAATTTATCCCATTACTAAATTTAATAGATTCGGGATTTACTACTCTTATGAAGCCCGAATGATCTACAATTTTTTTTCATCAATATTCTACTATTTTTATTTATATAATATTTACGAGTTTTTTATATAATAAACTCATTTTTATCTATACAAATCTTCTTTTAAATTTATAAATACTATTTGTTGCTTCTTATTCGACAGTAGACTGTGTTCGACGGTTAAAATCCGTTGGTTTTGGTCGGTTCGGTAGCCGAACCGACTGTGTCGGTTTTTAGAAACCGGAAACCAATACCGAACCGCAAAAATTACTATTCGGTTCGGTTAACTGAATTTCAGTTTTCAATCGGTTTTCAGTTTTAGTAATCTGGATGGTGACTATCAGTTAACTATCAGGTTACCCGCATATTTAGTTGCATTTTTTGACCAGAAATTGCGAAAAAATGTAAAACATTCCTTGTATGCAAGCATGTAATCACAATAAATGAATACAAAGCACAACATCCAAATTGATAATACCACAAACACAAAATATCCAAATCTAATGTTCAAAATCTAAAGTACAAACTATAAATTTGAAAGTTACAACAAACAATACTAATGTTCAAAGTCTAAAAAACATTAAATTGGCATAAGAAATTAAGAAGTCCAAAGCATAATTAAAAAGCATAGTGAAGTTCATTTCTAATTTCTCATAAACCTCCCATTCCCCTTCATTCGAATCCAAATCCAAATCCATTATATTTTCATATGTATCGCTACAATAGAAAATTAGAATTAAGTAAATGAAATTGAATAGATAATGAAATATAACCCCACCATTGTCCACCAGTATTGTACACCTATGTTTCATAGGCGTGAGATCAAAGCTATTGAAATATAACCCCACGTCCCCATCATTGTCCACCAGTAGTAAATCCAGTCCAGCCCCAAACAAATTCTCAAGGTTAACACTAACATAAACATTACCACCAGCCCCACCATTGGCCAATACGTTATCGGGTATACATAATTTCATATGAGTACATAATAAAAAAAATTTACAATGGAAAGGATAATATAAAACAGAGGCGAAAAAGAAATGGGTTCACGAGATAGAGAGACCAAAAACCTAAGTCGCAATCCAAAGAAAAAAAAAGAACTATACATCAAATCATCAATTGTAGGTGGAAGTAATCATACCGACAATTAGCAACATGGAAATATAGAGAATAGAAGCTTACCATGGTTGATTATAGAAATCTAGCATCTCCTCTCCAGCAACAAGCTTCAATTCTTTACTCTGCCGGAGACTGACTAAAACCAAGAAAGAAAGCCCGAGACAGGAGATAGAGTTTGTGAGAGACAAGATTGTGAGCTAAGAGACGAGAGAAGCAATCAAGTTATCAACGTATTTGGCTAGGGTTTTTTTTTGCCCCAAATCTGAGAGAGTGAGATAGAGTTAGAGAGAGTTAGAGAGATTGTGAGAGACGAGGAGGGTGAGTAAATGAGATGAGAGACTGAAGTGAAAAAACGGTGAGAAATGTAAAAAACGACATTATTAAATTTTTTTTACAAAATTAGTACGGTCTGTTCGGTTTATAACCGAATCTTAAAAGGCTCAACCGAAATTGAACCGCAATGGAGGAGTCCGGTTCGGTTAACCGAACCGACTTTGTCGGTTCTACGTGGTGCTTTATTTTTCAGTTTTGGAGCGGTCGGTTTTTCGGTCGGTGTGCGGTTGGTTACCGTTTTACGGTTTTTTTGTACAGCCCTAAGACTCAACCATATTAGATTAAAAATGTGAAGGTGGATTTAATGGAAGATAAGCTAAAAAAACAAAAAAAAACAAAAAACAAAACCGTACCCTTAGACTATGTTCGACAAATTTTTGAATTAAAAAAAGGTAAAATAATGAATTTGGAAAGTTTAACATTAATCATTTTCAACTCTATGGCAAAAAAAGTCTACACATGGATTTGCTACAAATTATATAATTTGTATAAAAATATTACATAAAGTTACATAAACGAAATGTTTACTTAAAATATGGAAAATCAAAACACCACACACGACCTAAAGAACCAAATCAATTTTTTCTCTTTTTCTTTTCTTAAAATATGGTAAACAGGGTTACATATAAATTTAATTTACTACATGAAAAACTACAATTATTCAAAACCGTGTTACAAATTAGATTACTCCTTAAGACAAAACCATGGAAACTCAAAATTCTTATATGATCTGAATTCTGATGTAACATGTTATCTCCATCATAGTAATATTTTATCTTCTTATAGGTTAACACTTGTGACGGGCATTGTTACATAGTAGTGCAGCTATAGAACTCAAAATACAAAATTCATCCTCATCTCCATTCAATTTCGTCGCTAATAATATTAAAAATAATTAATTTAGAAATAGAGATTGTTGTGTCAAATGTCAAATTAAATGGATTCAAAACAAAATATTAATTTAAAAATATCTCTCACCATCTAAATTTTAAATACACCTAAAATCTCTCAACTTAAAAATATGAACTCTAACTGTCAAAGAATAATTCTACGACCAAATATTCTTACACCAAACAAAAGAGAAAAAATGGTGTATTAATAGGAGAAACCAAACTGTGCAGCTGCTATCCTCTTGCGCGGCTCTAACATATACATATAGCATATATAATGCTTTTTCCAAGTAAAAGTCGGCAAAACGAAACCTGCCGTAGCCCTAAAACAAAGGGAAAGATATGGGCCTTGGGCCCAAACCTAAAAACATGCTTTGTGGGCTTAATTTGAAGCCACACGCCCAACAGAGATATTCATACCTTTGGACTCGCATATGTCGTCAACACAAATGAGATTTGATCTGTAATTCAAGAACTAACTCAAATTTTAATTAAATTTTGAACTATTGAAAATTACTCCAATACAATACTCAATTAACTCTCTTTCCTACTAAAATCTCCTTTGCTACAATATTTTCTCTTAACGTTAAATTTCTGCTTATTTAAATCTCTAAACCAAACGGATGAAGTCAAAATTTCACCTCCTATAACACAAGTCGATTGATTACAGGATGTTAATCCAAATAATTTAGACAAAACTCCGAACACCTCCCAAGAGTTAGAAACAATGTAAATGGATATATTATCATCATCATAATCATTATAACCTTTTCATACAATTAATTCAAAAAAAAAAAAGGGAAAAAAAATGAACACTCACTCCATGAATGTCTAAAAAAGAAAAGGAGAGAGAGAAACAGAAGAATTGAAAAGAGAAATCACTCATTCATGTGGAAAGCGTAATATCGCCCAAATCAAGCTGAGCAGCGATCTCCTCCAACTGTTTCTTGACACTCAAATCAATGAGTTTTGATCCAGTACTCCCAAACCTGACTGTGAATCCCGCCACAAGGCTCGGATCGATCAACGTCTTGATCCTCACGTTCTTGGCTCCGGTCAGCTTCTGCACCTGCTTCGCTATCTGCGCTAGGTGCTGCGACTCCAGCGGCACCACCGAGCTCACCACCGCCAGCTCCGTCTCCGTCTCCGTGTTGTACACCGTCTCGAACTCCTTCACGATGTCTTTTATGATGTCGATCCTCTTCGCGTCGATAAGGATGTTGAGGAAATTCGCCGTGTGCGGCTGAAGGGACGACGACGAGGCCAGCTCGTCCACGACCTTCCTCTTCTTCTCCTCGTCGATCGTAGGGTTCGTGAAGAAGCCGATCACCGCCGGTTCGGAGAAGATCTTCTCGACCTTCTCGACGTCGGCGCTCGTCGCCTCCAGCGTGTTGTTGGATTTCGCCACGCCGGCCAGTGCCACGGCGTAGCTGGCGGCTGCGGTGGATACCATGCGGGCGCCGGTGGCGGAACCGGAGCGGCGGTAGGAGAGGCGACGGCTGAGGGAGGGCAATTTGGTGGTGTCGGCGGAGGAGGAGAAGGAGAGGGTTCGGGGAGTGGTTAGGGAGGCGGAGGTTGGGGGAGGGAGTTTGGAGCGGAAGGAGATTGGGGTTTGCTGGAGAGCGGCCATTGCTGAATGGTGAATTCTTCTTCTTCTTTGCCCTTCACTTGCTTTGCCTTCTATCTCTCTCTCAGTGTTTGTTTGTGTTTCTCTTTGTTTGTGGGAAATGAAAAGGCTATCCAATTCCAGTGTCTGGAGAAGGATAACCACTAGTTTGTCTGAATGGGAGTTTAGAAGATAAATGAGTTTGACATGTGGATATCTGTTATTGGAATGAAAAAGGCTCATTATTTTTGGTCCATTTCTTTTGGTTTGTGGAAATAGCAATAAAGAATTAAAATTTTCATTTTGAGTGTTTAATAAATTGGATTCAATTGAATGACTCATCGTATAAGGTTTAGTTAATCCAAAACCAATCTAAAAAATATATGTAAATTTGTAGATGACCGGCAATTCTCAATAAAGAATTATTTTTGGGAGCTGACTTGTACTCTTATTTCCAACCTATGGCTGACTTTTAAAGAAAAATTGTAAATTGTAAATTAATTAAAGCACAGATTGTCAAAACAGAAGTGAAGAAAATCCAGAAAAGTGCTTTTATTCCTAGCAATATCATCATACACAGCATTTATACATTGAATCTTCCCAAGGCTCACCAACTTAATGTAAGTACCAATCCTTCAGAAACAAACACAGAGAAAGAACGCGACTAACTACACTCGCTTGAAAACTGCATTACTTTACAGAAAAATGGAAAATATCATCATTAAGCGCAAGTTTTATGATCATATAACGTCTATTAACCATTAAGACCAGGAAAAAAAATAGTAATTTAAAAGAAAGAGATTAAACTTCAGCGCTCATCTGGGGAATGAGAGTTATCTTTGAAAGACTGAGCACCGGAACGGAGATTAGAGCTTTGTGACCTGAACAAGTTCGGATATGAAAAGTACGGCTCATCATCCATCGAGGGCAGTCTTTGAGGTTGGTGGCGAGCAGGGTCGGATTCAGGAAGTGCAGCATCAAAATCTGCTTTAAGTGAGTGCACCGAAGAAAGATTTGATGCCTCTAATCCATGCACACTTTCATCAATATGATGAGGTTTTGGGGAACTTGAAACACTGTCAGAATCACCCGTAGAGTTACGGCGATCAAAATGAGGTTTTTCTAGAGAAGCTGACCGGCCAGGACTGCCTGTGTGAAAGGGGTTTTCACTGCTATTTGGAGGAACTTGGTCATTAGTTTTCTTGGAAAGCTCATTAATTCTGACTTGTGCAAGACTAGCAGCCGAGCGAGCTGCCGCCGCTGCACGTTCAGCTGAGTCAGCAGCAGCTTGAGCAGCAGCCAATACATCCTGCAAATCCACTTTGGCCTCACTTCTTGTCCTCAAAAGAGGGGGTGGTGGTGAATTACTACTTTGTCTCACAGAGAATGATGAAGAAGATAGTGATGGGGCAGCGATGAATGGCACAAACTGTTTATCTTCCAGACCACCAACCGGAGTGTGAGGCTTTTCATCTTTCTTAGCCATCGATCTTTCTTCAACCACTTTCTCGGGCTGATATTCTGGCTCTTCAGGTGGGTTTCCAATATCTACGGAATGTTTTGTTGATTCATGATCAATCTCAGGGTGTGGTGGCACAATTGGTGGAGGTGGCACAATCGATGGTGCTGATGCAGCATGTTCACCTGGCCGCACTGATACCTTAGGAACTTCAGGAAAATCTAGGTCGTCCAAGTCGTTATCAGAATCATGCTGTTCTTGGTGGGCTTGATTAGAGGAAGTCTCGGATATCTCCTCGTTTTTTTCTTTGGGAAGGGGCAATTTAGAGCCACTAACGAACTGTGTTGGGCCATTCTGACAAAGGGAGAACAATTTGAGAAGGGTACACCAGAAGAAGAAAATGAAAAAGAAAAGTCAAGCCTATCAAGAGAAATACAGTATTTACCAATAGATCTTCGTGTGATTTGAAAAATTCAGATTCAGATGCAGCTGGATCCCAATCTAATTCATGCTCTTCAGCAATTTCTTTCAGAAGCTTCAGTTTCTTTTCAGGCGAAGGAGCACGAACTGATAGCAATTCGATTAACTGCAGTTGCAGTAAAGACAAAAAATCAGAGAGAGAAAATATGATGGAAAATAATAGAAAAATTCAAGAGTAAATCAAGCTATAGTTTCATAAAACCTGGCGATTGACACCACAATCTGGTATGAGCTCAGTCGCAGCTGCTACAAATTCCTTTCCATATTTAGATGCAAATAGTATTTGAACCTGCAGTAATTCCGGCAAATCGGCACACCTTGGTGCAGCAAAACACACACTAGAGATCGCTTCTTTCAAGTCTAGTGGACATTCCCTGTACAAAACCGAGGGTTACAACTCCAATTCAAGTGTTACTTACAAAACAAATAGTAAAAGTAAAACCCCAACCACAGCCAAAATGAAAGTAATAATGAAAAATTAGTCATAGTCAAAGGGATATATACTTCCTGGAATTGATGCTACAAGCTTCACCTCACTTACGTAAAAGCAAAGGGTATGATAAAATCATTCTCATAACTTAGACAAAGAATTATTCATACCAAGAACAGAAGCATGAAGCACAAAACAAAAAAAGTACAAGAAATAATTAGTTGGCCAGGGAAAACCTTTGTGTTTCGATAATGGGAAGGCGAACGGTAATAAGCTCGCAGAATAGCTCAATAATCTCCTGCGCCGCCATCATATTCTCTTCTCTAATTATATGCTCAACCTACAAGGGAAACTTCAATAAGACCAAGCATTTTCACAAATTCAACAACGACAGAAACATCTTGTCAAAAGAGGGCTATACCCGAATACGAGCAGTAGCTTCTTGACCGGTCTCAAGAAGCTTGGCAATGTCTCTCCGCATCTGCTTTAACTGAACCTCCCTCCTGTTTCTCAGCAACTTTATCCGCGGAATCGCCAATTTCAGCAGGGTTTTACTGTAAATTTTTAATTTTTTAAAAAAAAAAAAAAAGATTTTCATCCGATAATCAGCAAGCTTCTGGATATTAATAGAGCAAAAATCTAACCAAATCATTGCAAAACTAAGTCTCAAACAAAAAATATAAGATTTGCATCAGAGAATCAACAAGTGTCTAGAATCATGCTAAAGTAACCAAGTATCAATCTGTCTAACTAAAACAACGTAGATTTCAAGAAGCAATAATATCTTTGTTCACTTGCTATGAAAATGTGATACAAAATAATAGGCTTTTCACGTTATGATTTTCCCTATAACTTGATCGATCCTTTAGTTTCCTAAAACAATAAACGAAAACTCGATTTTCTAAGCTGTTTCCGAACAGTTTCGCAGCAGCCAAAAAGGGCACAAGAATTCGATCCAAGTTTCCGATCTCACAAAACTTATAGACCCAGAAATTAAAATTGAATGAGAATCAAACGAAAACAAAAATACTATGATAACAACAACAATCATTAAAATAAGAAAAACGAAACTTAGTTTACCATTTCGCAGCTTTAAAGCCCTTGTTGAAGAAAGAATCCAACATGGTCGAAGAAGATAAAAAATTTACGACCAAACCCCAAAACACCCACAATTTCTTTCTTCTCGCAAAATCCAAAGATTTCTTCAATTCTCTGCGCAAAGAAATATAGATATATATATTTTTTTCTTTTGCTCTGATGAAAAGAGAAAAGAGACGGGAATTTGGATTAGAGGGGTAGTATTAATTACCTGCTCTGGTCTGTACACACAACACTGACTCAACTCAAGTATGAAAAATTGATAGATATTTGATATTTGATAAGGAGAGAGTTTTTGATGTGGAAAATACGCGTCGACGTCGTTTACGAGCGTTTGCTTAGGGTAGAAGGATGCTGATTTTCGTCTTCTGTTTGTCGGTCATTTTGCGTCGCAGTTGTGCGTGGGCCAAACGCTGCCTTCACGGTTAGCTTCTCCTTCATCGCCCAGCTGCAAAATTTGGGCTCAATCAATCGAGGGCCTTTTCTGAGGAGGTTCGGTAGTTAAATTTCCTAGAAATTGTAGTGGATTAAAAGAGAATTTAGAGGCTAATGAAGGCTCAGGGACAAGAAAAAACGTGATTTGGATTGAATTCCGATTAAACAATACATCAATGTAAGAAGTTACTCTGATAAGTTTAGTGAATTTTTTTTATTTCCATTTATATGTAAAAATTTTGTTTATATATAAATAGAAAAAAAAATCAAAACTCACCTTTTTTAAAAGAAAAAAATGAAAATTTTATGAGTTTGAACCTTTACCATTTATTTTTAATAAATACCATTTTATTAATATAATTATTTGATTAAAAAATTATAAATCAAAGATAAAAAGTAAAAATCTTGACTCATACACTTTTAAAAGGTATTTGTCAATATTATTCTTTTTTAACTGAAAGAAAAATCCCCGTTATTACAAGTTAGATAGAGCTTGCTATGACAAAAGGAAAAAAAAAGGAATCTACACATTAATTCTTGTTTCTTTTGCGATTTGTTTTGAACTGCAGTTTCGAAGGGATACAATTTTATCCTAATCAACCGATTTTGTCGTGAGAAAAAAAAAATTTACGTGAAAAAAATCTTTTTTTTACCTAATCATAAATCTAAATAGTTTTAAAATTTGCTATTTTTCTATAAATTGGTTATTTGTTAATTTCCTTTTCCCTTAGTCACATTCTCCTAATTGATCGATCAATTTTCCTCGTCGAACAAAATGATGCCCATGTCGCAAGGCCTAACGAGACATCACCCGTTTGATTCATATATTAAAACCATAAGATTAGAACTATTTTTTATTTACGTGTGTTTTTTATGAGAGAAAATACTATAGCGAATCATAAACCATGATTTGAATAAGAGAACGAATCCCCCAACCAAACGGGCTTGTACAAGGTCCAAGTTTTATGGGAAATTAAAGCTGAGGTATAAAGCTTCTTAACTTTGAACATCGATTTGTTTAATTTGCTTTGGGATTTTTCACCTTTTTTTTTTTTTTTTTTTTTTTTTTTTTTTTTTTTCACATCACCCCAATTATTAAATGCTTAGCCTCTTATCCATTATCGCCAAGAAGTATATGTAATCAAACAATTAGGTTCACTTTTTATGGAATACTCTTATATGGACCAACCCGTTTACATCTTAATGAAATTAGGAGTCTTATGGCACAGCAATAAATATCAGCGTTTATTATCTGATTAAAAGTCACTAAATGAACCCAACTTAGACGTGCAAATACTGTGGAATTAAAACTGGCCTTGAATTCTTAGCAGGCAACATAAATGCTTGACTTGTGCACATCTCAGCTTTTTACCAAAGCTCAAGCATATTCAAGATAAAAGCAGCCATTAATAAAACTTCAATTACAAAATGCAAAACAGAGAAAAGAGTCAACAGAACAGATCTATCCATTCTCCATCTTTGGTTTCCACTTTATGGTTTGTTATTAGTACAATACAAATCCATCAAAATGGTTCATAAAGAAAGAAAAAAAGTACAAATTTCAGTGACATGGAAATTTGACATCTGTATTCTAATATTCGCCGGTTGATGCCCACAACTTAAGAATACAAGGCAGTGAAGATCAACCCACCTCTCAATGAAGATTCGTCAACAATAATTGATAAATAAAGATGGATTAAATACAAAAAACTGTTCTCTTTGAGTTTCGTATAGAAGTCGGTCACCGACGACCAAATGGAGGAGTCATATTGTTTCCAGGCTGGCCCGGTGGCGGTCTGGGCCTTGCGTACTCAGCGAATATAACCCAACCATCTAGAAACTACAAAACCACAGACAAACACAGAAGCTAATCAATTCTAGAATGCAAGACCATTTTTGAAGAGTGACCACAATGGCATGGCTGGGTTGGGACTGTGGCGTGGTGTGGATCAATATGTAAATCTAATTAGTGAAAGCCCAAATTTCTTCAGCAAAGGGAGGAAAAAAGGCACAAACGCTACTAAAGCAAAAAAAAGAAGCTCAGAATGATTATATTCATGAAAAATACAAAGAAATTGTAAACTAAAAACTGAGAAACCATAATATTTTCCCAATGTAACACTCAACACTCCCACAACAAAAGAAACTCGAGTTTAATTAACTCAATTCCATCAACTCAACTTTTTTTTTCCTTTCACGTGAAAGCAGAGCATAGAAGTAGCATTGAGAAGAGGAGACAAGTGGCTATGAGATTAGTTGTTTCTCAAAAGTTAACATGGAGTATGAAACAGAGACAGATAATTGCTTTGTCATTCCTTGTTTCCCCTTATTCCTTTTCCTTAAGAGAAAAAGAGCGGCCCCATTATGCAAATATAGAAAGAGCTGAGGAAGAGAGAATGCAAAACAGATTGCCTCTTATGATAGTTACTAAGGGCATACTCAACATAACGAGAAATCTTGCAATACAATAATCTTTCCAAGGTTGTCTAAGGTCTCGATGATCACAAAACAAAGGAATATCTAAATTCCTTACTAGACACTCTAATTTTAATGCATCATGGTAGGTGAGAGTAGCTTAGCATGTACTGTTAGAAAACCACCTTTCATCTTCTTAAGTGAACGAAAGTGTTACAAATGTTACCAACTCACCTTGCCATCCATGCCCTCTATACCTTTTGCGGCGTCTTCTAGAGTAGCATATTTTACAAAACCAAATCCCTTTGAGTATCCCGATACACGATCAGTCACCACTCTAGCTGTAAATGTAATAATCGTTCATAATTTCCAATAGAGGAAGGGAAAGGAATGAATATAGAGAGGGAGAAAGAGAAACAACATACCATGTACTACTTCACCAAACTGAGAAAAGGATTCGTGTAATTTTTCTGTCGTTGTACGTTTACTAAGTCCTGGAGGAAACAAAGATATTAAGATCAAATACTCAAATGCGAATATAGCAACTTAATGTTTGAAATATACCTGCCTCACCATATTTCCAACTAAACTAAATCATCCAAGCATGCTCAAAAGAAACAGGAATGACAAACAACATGAAATGAAATGATTTTGCAATATATAAAACATGTCAAAGGGTTGAAAAAGAATAGGATCCACTTTTATTGTATTTTTCTAATTTCACATACATCTTTAACTGCAATCAGCAATAAAATTCAGAACCGATCCATCTCTCCAATCATCCAAAAACCACAACTAAGACATACTGCAATTAACGAACTTTCCCAACCAACCACCAAGTACCAACGTAAGACATTCAACTTTTTAGTCACTGCGATCTCAAGTTCTAAAAGCTTCCATCCTCTCGCTACTGGTGCAAGAGAGAAACGGGGGAAAAACAGAAAAATCAACCATAAACATTTTTCAGTCTCTAATCGGTCTATTATGGATCTTACATTTTGAATACCACAAAGAATTAAGAGCTTTCTAAATGCTATTGCGAGAAACAGAGGCAAAGCTACTATCTTCCGAAGCAACAAAAATCTGTGAACACCCAGAACCTAGAACAAATTTCGAAACCGAAAACAAATAATAATTTTCCAACAACTATGGCAAACATTAAAGGAAAAGATAGAGGGGAAGTACCAGAGACGAAGAGATTTGAGCTCGGTTCGGCCTGCTCTCGAGCCTGAGCCGCAGCGGGGGTCGGCGGAATGAAAGGAGAAGTGGAAGCCGTTGAGAAGAGCCGTCTGAGCAAGCCGCGAGGAGCAGCCGCCGCCGCCGCCGATCTCAGAGCCATGCTTGTCTGCAGCTGGGTTCTTAAATCCTTAAACCCTCTTTGCTCGCTGCGATGGTTTTGTCTCAGAGGAGGAGCCTGGCCCTAGGGCTATAATGAGAGGAGAGAAGAACTGAAATTACAGAATTAGCCCCCGCTTTATTTATTTATTTAGAATTATTAGGACCATTCTCTACTTATCTCATAAATTTTAAAAATTCTCATTTTATTTATAAATTTTAAATTATTACCATTTAATTTTTTTGTTATAATTTCTGTTCAAAATAGATAAAAAAAAAATAGAGTTTTATAGTCACATGATCTTTCTATTTAAATTTGTGTTAAAAACAAATAGATAAAAATAACATAGTCACACTTAACTCTCTTTTTTTCCGTATGTTTTTAACAAAAATTACAACAAGAGATTAAGTCGAAATAATTCAGAGTTTATAAGGGCAAAGTGAGAGTTTTTAAAGTTCAGGTTAGAGATACAACAATGAGCTGGCGCCCGCGGGCCGGCCCAGGCCCGGCCCGGCCCGTCACTGTTTAAGGCACGGCCCAGCCCATAAATATTAGTGGGTTGGGCTGGGCCAACATATATCGGCCCATGGGCTAGCCCGGTACGGCCCATGAAAAATCATGGGACAAGCTGGGCTTGGGCCGGGCTAGGCCAACCCGGCACGGCCTATGAAAAATCATAGGTTAGGCTGGGCTTGGGCCGGCCCGTCTAGGCCCATGATGGGCCGACCCAGCCCGGCCCGTCTAGGCCCATAATATTTTCATGTTTTTTTTCTTTTTTTTTTAGTAATTTTGTAAACATCTTATGTATAATTATCCTGATTGTACTCTTTTTTTCTTACCAAGGTTTTGTCCTACTGGGTTTTCCTTATAAAGGTTTTTATTTAATGAGACAATCGTAAATAAAATATCCATTTTCACATTTACATTGACTATTCAAATTTTTATATTTGTTAACTTGTTTAAAAATTTAAAAAGAAAAAAATTGAAATAAACAAATTAAAAATTGCATGCTTAGATGGGCTAGCTCATCTAAACCCCATGATGAGCCAAGATGAGCCTTGAATGAGCTAGCTCATTCAAGGCCCATAGAACAACTCATCCTGGCTCACATAAAATTAGCCCATGGTGTGGGCTGGGCCGAGATAATTATTATATGGGCCGGCCCACAAAATTCATGGGTTGGGCCGGCCAGGCCTACGGCCCGCGTGGGCCTAAGAATAACGGGTCGGGCCGGGCCGGGCCGTTCTTGCATCTCTAATTCAGGTGATAAAGTTAGAATGACTCTAAAATTTAGGAGTACCAATGAAATTAATCAATTTATTTATTGTTTTAAAGTGGGTAATATATTCCAAAATATAAAAAGGTGTTACAAACACTAAGCCATACACGTAGCTCCTATTATAGGAAATATGACTTCACAAATAAAGATCACCTAAAATGGTACATAAAAAATCAAGCACAAATATGGCTCTTTCATATATTCTCTATAGTTGATGGAAACAATCTAATCAACTGATACGAGAAACATATAGCACAAAAACAAGACAAAACCCACAAAGAAACATATCTTGCAGATGAAGAACCACTATTATTGCAAATGAAAAACGAAAAAAAATCCACAAACTAGAACATCAAAACTCTAAAGGGAGCAAGACCCATGAACACCGCAAATCAAAACAATAAAAGGGATGAATAGTTGGTAAACTACATTTCAAAACTTTTGTTACTATAGTATTTTCTTCAAAAGGGATGTTTGTATCTTTTTTATTCAAATGTCCAAAACACTTTCTGACTTTAAAAAATCTATCATTTTAAGATGTTCAAATAAATATTTTCAATCAAATAAATATCTCAACTATTTTAGAATTTTTTATTTTTTAAGATTAATTTTATTTAGTAATTTAATTAATAACGTTTTAAATTGGGCCCGTTCACTTCGCTAATTCGAGTTTTTCTATAGTAAAAAACTCTCACAAACAATCACATTTAACTTTTTTGTTACAGTAAAAAGCTCTCACATAAAGTCACATCTCAACTCGAATTCTAAACTCGAATCAGCGAAGTGAACGGATAATATGGAATGATAAATGAAATTCTCCAAGAATGAGTGCTTGCTAGGTTTCCACAAGAACGATACTAAAAGAAAGTTATGTAAACAAATAGAGATGTCAATACTTGCCTAATTCAGACCAAAAACAAATAGAGGCGCTCAAGAAGATTTATTTAATATTGTAACAAAAAATAAACGAAAAAAGAAAATCAATTTCAACGTGGTACGTAAGAAAAAACTAACTACCACAGTTGATATGGAATGGTGAAATTTTGAACTCTTTGTGGGCATCTTCTAGGTACATTGCCTTTTTACCCTTCTTCTTTCTTGGTACATTGCCTTTTTGCTGAACCCAAACTTCTTCGTTTCCGCGTCATAGCAAACTCTCCGAACTTATGACCGACCTTTTCTTCAATGATCTTACACTTTATAAAAGTTTTTCCATTGTAAATTCGGAAGGTGCAGCCGACAAATTCTGACAAGATAGTGGACCTGCGTAATATCATGTTCTTATTTTTCAACAATAATGCATCAACAAAACAATCCTTCCACACAGTTCGCAGTGGATTTGCATATCCCGATACATGATTGCTCATCACTTTAGCCACGGATTCATGATTAAAATCAACACAAACATTCTTCTAAAAGGAAATGAAGAAATATAGGCCTTTGAAGTTGATTTTATTTTTATTTTTTAGGTTTTTTGAGAAAAAATAAAAATATGAGAGAAACGGCATGACATAATTAAAGATAAAAAACATGAATGAAAATAATTTTTTAGTTTAGTGTAAAATGGGAAAGTAATGAAAAAGTTATTTTTCATTTTTTATTTCATTTCTCTCCTCTCTCGAGCATAAGGAGAGAGATATTAATAGATTTTTATATACTGAAAATAATCTCTTGATAAAATTACTAAACACATTTTTAAAAATAATTTATGTTTGATATTGAAAATATTTTCATTTTTATTTTTATACAAAAAAATAAAATTATTTTAAAACGAGTTATAAACGCACCCATAAATTCTAATAACAAAATGCCATGCGCTACTTGACAGAGAAAAAGACCTTGTTCCTGCACTTTGACTAAGTCCTTGATGAAAATCAGATAATAAAATTGAGGGAAATGCTAAACTTCACCTAGTTTTTTGAGATTTCGTTATTACGAATGAAGCAGAGAAAGACCTTGTTCTCCATGGATGGCTAGTGTCGTAGATCCCATAACTTTTTAATATCTCATCTATGACTCTCTAGTCTACTGCTAAAAAATCTAACAAAAAAACGCAAGTTCCTGTTTTGTATGTTTTTCCCTCGCTGAAACTTTTAGCTCTATTCAATTAGAAAAGATGAGAATAAAAGAATATAAGTGGGAAGAAGATAAAGAAATTCAAACTCAAGGTATCTTCAAGCAAAGATCAGTCTAGTCTATATCATTGGTTTGTGATCTGCTAATTCACACTTGCTATTGTGCAAAGTTTTCGATTCTTCTGTTTATTTGATTGTCATTATTTGGATTTGTCTTTTTCTTCAGCATTGTATTCTGTTTTAGCCAATATCTTTTCAAGCATTAGCTCTTGTAAAAATATTTCTCCACCTACATTTTGAATTGTCTTGTGGCATTCTGGCTACAAACTCTAAAGGGAGATAATCTCAATATAACAATAATAAGAAATTTAGAAATCAGAATACTTGGCTGGCAATAAAGTTGAACAAAATCAAATTCAACGCGGATATGGACTTCAAGTTATGCTTTTGGCTGTTCGCTTGGTCGCTTTTGGCTGTTCGACTCAAACTCTGCGTCTTTGATTTGTTGATTTTTGCCATTGTCTAACTGCAATTCCCCGATGTTTATATTTATGCCCCTTCAAAAGGAAAAAATTAATTCATTTTCTAGTAATTCTGTTTGACGTTTTTTTTAATTAAAAAGTGAAACGTTTTAAATTGAGCCAAAAACTCTTAACACTAACCATTCTGAAAATCTCAGCCGTCGATCTTAAGATTCTTACATTTCTAAGATATCAACCGTTGATCATGGGCGACGAACGAGACCTGTAAAACGCAGACCATTCGGCGGCCAACAGCCAAGCAAAACCTCAGTTCTCTGTTTGGCAGACAACGACGATGAACAGTCCATCGCGTGTTCCCGCCGAGGAAGAGGAAGACGATCATGGCGAGGTTTTCCTCGACGAGTCCGACATCATCCACGAAGTTACCGTCGATGAAGAAGGTTCTCTCTCTCTCTCTCTAGAACTTTATGTTTGTGTCTATGTATACATCAATTGATTGGTTATTGATCACTTTGGTGATGCGCTTGATGCGATGCAGACCTTCCTGATGCCGACGAAGATGTCGAATTTGCAGGTATGTCTACTTTTAACTCCATTTCTGTGCATTTTTCTTCATTTTTTTTGGATGAATTAGTTCGTGCTTTTTTTTCCAGCTTTAACTCCAATTCTTTGCATTTTTCCTGGACTTAAGCTTTTGTTGAAATCTCTCAATTTCATACATCTTCAAGTTAATCATTTAGTTTTTTTTTTGTTTTGATGGGTTTCAGATGAGGCTGATGATTCGATGCACATCTTCACTGGCCACACTGGTAATAAAATAACTAACCTTTTCTTTTCTTTATCTGTTATTTACTTATTGATTGATGCATTTGAATTATTATTATGCATTGGTTTTTAGTATGAACTGGTGTCAATGGTAATTGAAGCAAGATTGCAGTACCATCATAACAGCTTATATGAAAATTTTGATTTTTTGTGGTAGTAGTATGATAGAGTTATGTTATATTAGAAAATCTATCTGCTATTCTTTTAGCTGCAAAACATTAGTGAATTGTGCCACGTGAAGTAAATAACATGAAGTTTGTTTTTGGGACATTTTAAATACATAAACAAACTAGTTAGAAGCTATAATTGTCAAACTCTCCCAGATAAGCTATCCTGGGAAAAAAAGAATTTGTGTCTTCATAAATGATTTCTGTACCAAGTTGGTCTCTCTCACTAACAATTTATGACTAGGGTACCTTGAGACATAAGTGGTATAAGATTATGAAGACATAATTGACAATTGTGATCTCTCCCGGAATGAGGGTATCAAGTTATCAACACGACGAAATGAATATTTCACTTTCTACACTTATGCATCAAGTTTTATACCTGGTCTATGTGCTGGAGGTCTTAGGATAATACTGGTTTTAACATTTTATTTAGTGTAGTCAGTTTAGACAGTGAAACATGTAGGACCTCAGTTCAATTGTCTCTAAGAACAATACATTAATGTTAATGTTTGTCAAATGGAACATTTGAAACTAAATGCAAAACTATATAGGTTGGTGTTCGATGTTTGATGTATTTATTATGAACCCAAATTTTGTTTTTATATGTCTTCACTTACATAGAAATTCCTGCT